AGAGAGAGAGAGAGAGAGAGGAGGGGCAGAGAGAGAGAATCTCAAGCAGACTCCACACTGAGCATGGATCCTGACGCAGGACTCGATCTCACAACCTCAGATCAGGACCTGAGCCAAAACCAAGATCAGTTGCTTAACTGACTGAGCCACCCAGCCACCCTGCCAACAGTTCCTTTTGAGCTCCACTATTGCCAGATGGATTCTATAGTCTATACATTTTTTGACATGTCAAAATTTAGGCATTTAAGGCAGCTCCAACTCCTTCATACATTCACTTATATTAATCTTAAGTCAAACGCTCACTGAATGCCTACCATGTGCCAGCCGCTGGGCTAGATGCTGGAGAAATGCTCTCTGCCCTCCTGGAGCTTACCCACCAGTGTGGGAAATGGATAAGAAGAAAATGGTAAGTAAAAAACTCCTTGGATAAGAACTACAAAGAAGAGAAAAGCCGTATGCTTTTTTACTTATAATGGATTTTAATTATGCTGCTAGTACTTCAAAACAGCATTATCTTCAACAAAGCCAAAGTCCTTTGAGGCAATCATAGAAACTTAGGTAGAATGAAATACAGCTACCAACTAACTCTAAGCATGACTATCAGTTTATTCCTGCAATACAAAGTGTGTGTGTGTGTTTGTGTGTGTGTGTGTGTGTTGGGAATAGGTGGGAATAGATGGGCAAGTAGGGGATGGGCAGCCAAAAGAAAAAAGAAAAGAAAGAAGGGAAAGTAAGAAGAGCTAAAATTCTTATATCAATTAAGAAGGTCATTTTGCTCAATCTTTCAGACTTCATATTTTCTAGACTGATACCATTTGCCTCTCTGAATAATTAGTGACCATTTGCGTATTAATATATAGATATTACAAAGTTTACCATCATATATTTACCCCTTTCCTGTAGTTCAGCTATTTAAAAATGTACTCTCTAGTTTTTGTTCTGGTAGAACATATTTTTAACACTTTATTTTCAGGGTTAAAAGATTTAATTCTTCCTCTCCAATTACATGTTCATGTATCTTTTTTTTTTTTTTTAAAGATCTTATTTATTTGAGAGAGCGAGAATGAGAGAGAGAGCACATGAGAGGGGGGAGGGTCAGAGGGAGAAGCAGGCTCCCCGCCGAGCAGGGAGCCCGATGCGGGACTCGATCCCGGGACTCCGGGATCATGACCCGAGCCGAAGGCAGTCGCCCAACCAACTGAGCCACCCAGGCGCCCCCATGTATCTTTTCCACTATATTTTCACCCGGTTACCTACCATGTAAGAAAGTAAGAGATTTAAAATAGAAGCACTGAGCTGGCAGAGTATAAATACTTCCTTGACTTCAGTGCCCATTTTTGAAATTGAAATTCTTGGGTCATTCCTTCCTGACTTAGATTAAATGTCCACGCCTTATTTCTATCACTTCCAAAAGTGCTAGGGGAAAAAATGCAATAACCTTTTCTTAGAAAATCTCTCTTTCCAAGATTGGGGTGCTCTCAAAAGAGCCACAAACTCTGAAATAAAGTTACCTTTCCCACCTCCAATCAATGCTTCTAAACAATGAATGTGAACATACACTTAAAAAATCGCATCTGGACACAACCCTTACCTGCATCTCTTGACAAAAGGAAGCCAATGGCCCAAAGAGAATCTGACATTGCTCGTCAGCGGTGTATGTCATCCCTGGCAACTTGGAGGGAACCATCACGGAATTGACACTCTGGGGGTTTGTCTGTAGCAAGCAGTTACTGGCCTTTGACCTGGCAAAATGCAGATGTGTGTAAAATTTTGGATTTCATGTAAAAACCTGTTATAATTAGCATAGCAACAGGAAACATTTTTATAATGTTAAAAATATGCTCTTACTTTGATTTATAAGTTCTACTGAATATCCATAGAAATCATCCCCTATATGAGAATCATTTATATACAACTATATAAGATAATCCTAATAATAATAATATTCAAGTTAAAGAATGTTTTGGATTATAAAGGTCTTTCATAGATCTTTCAGCTAATCTCCATAACACGGTAAGGTGATTATTATTATACACACTTATAAGATGAAGAAGCTCAGACTAGGAGCGTAACTTGCCCAAAAATAATGTGTAAAGGTAAGAAACCAATTATATTTGGGGGCTGAGAGAATATATGGAAGGCTCTGTCAAGTGAGTATTAATAGTACCGATATTTTAGTATTTGACATTGTAATACAACTTCCATTTACGAGGTGCCATTTAATTTTATCATGCATCTGATTCTTGTGAAGGCCATACAATATCACGCATGTTCCTTAGGAACTACTCAAGGGTTACTGTTGCAGTGAGGTGGTGAGATTAGGTATTACAGGTTCTGCATACTGTTCTCTACATCATTCACAGAATGTACTGCACATAGCTCACACCAGAGTTATGGTATGGTAGAAAACATTGTATTGTGGTGGATTTTAATATTCATTGAACAGAAAAAACAGGCTTGCCAATTGAAATGGTATGGAAACCTGAATAAAATTTATCTGTATAGTGAACTTAGCTAGCTAGGTGCTCCTCTCTACCTTCGTGAGACTTGTGCATACTTGAAGCATCTCTCACTCACTTTGTATATCATGTACTATTTCAACTGCTCCTTTAATACCAAAGGGATAAGTAAATAGCAAGGGCTTTAAAATGAAAAATAAAACAATAATAATATTTTTCATTTCTTTTTCCAACCAGAGAGAAACTGCTCCCGCTGTTGAAAGTGGGAAAGACGAGAATGAGGACTATTATAATGGTGACAACGATGTATTAATGAAAAAAATTCAGAGTTTAGAAGTATCACAATGGAAGAGTGGAGCTTGTGTTAAAGAGGTTCTTTGTGATAATGGATGTGCTGAGTGATGAGCAATGAGAATGTTTCCACGGGGAAATTTTGAAGAGGCAATTAAATACTGTGACAGATAATTTTCCAATCTTACAAATCATCTTGCTCATTCTTTTATAAGAAAATGTGGAAACTAAGAAGCAGATGGGTTAAATAATATGTTCCAAATCACACTATGAGTCAGTGGGAGAGCCAGCATTGAAACCGACTGCCTTGATCCTTAATCTGGTGTCCTCTCCACTCTACCGTGCCATCTTCCCTGGTTGGTAGCAGAAGCAGGCACAGGTAAACATTGACAATACAACAATAGTAAATGACCTCAGTACCTTAGAAATCTTTCCAAATCTTCCTTGCTACATCGGGACCATGAAACATCACCAAGATTTTGTCCTTTAATCCATTCACCAGACATGATATGAAGACCATCAGCACATGATGGGTGGTCATTGTCATGATTAATGCCCATGCTGATTCAGAATATAATTAAAATAAAAAATTACATTAGATAAGTATGTTTTAACTTTTTTAATGGCAATAAAATAACAGATAAATACTTAAAATAATGGGAGATGAATTGGTTTAAAAGGTCAAAAATAAAACCAGGTTTCAGATTGATTTATTTTTTAAAATTTTGTTATTTTGTTAAAGGTAAATATTTTTATTTAGTAAAAAACATTTTCCCAATCTATCTGGTAAATAACATATTTAGTCTCCTTTATCAAAATGATCTGTAGATAAATTTTTCACAGAGTAGTATATATGAAACACATAGAAATAGTTAAGCTTCTATTCAACCATACAAAATTCTTGTTCTTGCCTGGAGATCCTTTATTCATACCTTCTATCAAATCTGAAACCACATTAAAACTATTATTTTCCCCATCTGCTTCATTAGACTGCCTTCTTCCACTCATCATATAACAAAAACTGTCCCTGGGAAACCTTCCCATTCCTGGCCATCTTTATTTTTTCTAGTGAATCTTGAAGCTGTTGCTTTAAGTTGAAACTCTATTTAAAAATCTGACTTATCTCCAAATGGATGTACTAGGAGAATGTTAAATTCAATATGTGGAAAAACTGCTCTCACTATTTTCTCTTTCAAACCTCTACTTACTCCTATATTCTATTTTTCCTTCACTCTCTTCTTTGTGCCTTTGCTGGCCACCCAGTCTGCCAAATCAAGAATCTTCAGGTCATTTATCCCTTCTCTCAGATCATCATCCCCCCAGGCTATTTTATTTACTCCGTGTGAGAGGGCAAGTCCTGCCAGTTCTACTTCCCAAATATTTCTCTCATCTGTCACCTCCTTTCAATTCCTTTGTTACTATTAAAAAGGATTATAAAGTATTTAGTCTCAACAATTATTACGGCGTTATTGGGCTCCGGGGCTCTAATCTTTACCAACATTCTCTCTTTTTCTTCTACTCTGCCCCAGTGAAGTTAATTTAAAACACAACCCATTGCCATTACCTTCCGCATTACCCCCATGGCACTTCCCAGCTCTCTAACATGGTACAAAGTCTCTTTATCTTCTTCCAAATCCTTTACTGCATTTTCTTTTCAGTAAATGATTTCTCGTGTCGCAAACAGTATGTTCTTTCTTATTCTTTTACAATTAATTGTCATTTAGCATTTTCTGTGTGTCACACACCATACAAATGGGTTTATAAGCTTGAATTAAAGACTCTACGAGGTAGGGACTATTAAAACCCCATTTTTGCTGATGAGAAATAACTTTCCCAAGGTTCTACAGTGAGAGAGTGGAAAGTGGTGAAGTCTGTAGCTAGGTGGCTGCCTCTAGAATCATGTGACTGGCCGTGATACATTTGGCATCTACGAATTCCATTCCCTCTCCTGCCCTGTCCAAAGTGTCTCTCCTTCAATGTCTTTGCCTGGATAAATTCTACTTCATCTTCAAGGATACTGTTGATTACCTTCATGAGGTTTTCTTTCACTAACTTCCATCTTATGTATGTGTACTCTGTCCTAACATCGGATTCTGCGGACAACACTGTTACTGCAAGGACCTATCCTCAAGAAATTGCAGCATTAACCAGAAGTTAAAATGGATAATGCAATGTAGAAAATGCTGTAACCCTGGGACCCTGGGATCATGACCTGAGCCGAAGGCAGTCGCTTAACCAACCGAGCCACCCAGGCGCCCCTAGAATCACTTCTATTGCAGGAAAACGTTCATATAATCCACACTGAATTCTCATAGTGAAGGTTAATAGTGAAGACACAGGAGGAGGAAAGGTTTGATTTTGTACAGGTCAAGTTTGAAATGATGGCAGGATAGTTAAGGGTTCCCTTTTCTCATTCTGTATGATCTAGACAATAAAGTAGTCCTTTATAGTAAAAATAACAAATAGCTAAAATAGCTACATTATATTTTAAAATGTTAATAAAAGAATTGTGTGGAAGCTGCTAAGGGAAATCACAACTAGACTACGTATGTGTTCTCAAATCAAAATAAAAATTTTCATGATGATCAAATTACTTTTTCATTGAGATGAATTAAAACTTTGAATCAAAATTGTTATATTTAACATGTTTTGAAAGAAGAAAATATGGCTGGAATAAGTAATTAACTTCTGAGTTAAAAATAATGAATGAGGAAATCACTGTTTGCTAACTTTTGAAGACTCCAAAAATTCTGGTCTAAATAAAACTGAAAATATATGACTGAATATCATTTTCCATATTTTCATGTTAGAAAAATTCAGCTCTATGTTGAATCATATTTTTCACTCCTATTCTAATTGTCTTTAAGGTCTGTATCAACACACATTAATAGGATGACTGACAGATTAGGAAGATAAATGTTTTTCATACTTTAATGATAAAGAGGAAAAGTAAGAGGTGATGTGGAGTAGGTATGGACCAGTTTAGTTACTGGGAGGTGCGGTGAAAGATGTTGAAGTTGAAAGAGATGTGAATTCTGTATCTCCCGCCCCCTTATTCATGGGACTAGAGACAAGTAAATAATAATAAAGAAATGTGCCTCGGTTTCCTCATTTATGAAATATACTTTCCCAACTGGTTGTTAGGAAAATTACATGAGGATGATGTAAAATGCCTGCACAGTGCCTGGAATATATATATAATGGAATATATATATAATGATTCTTTTAATGGGGGCAAGAAATCAGAGAAACCTCATCATTCTAACTTGTCAAAAAGCACAAAAAGATAAACATCATTATGTGAAATTTGCTGTTATTTGTAGAAGTTGCTTTGGGGGAAGTTGTGGACTTTAAGGAAAAACCAAGTAAAGAATCACGGCAAGAATTTACTTTGCTTTGATGTTAAATTAAGAAAAGAAATTGCTGGGGTGCCTGGGTGGCTCAGTCAGTTAAGCATCTGCCTTCGGCTCAGGTTGTGATCCCAGGGTCCTGGGATCGAGCCCCGTGTCAGGCTCTCTGCGAGGCTGCTTCTCCCTCTGCCTCTCCCCCTGTTCATGCCCTCTCTCTCAAATAAATAAATAAAATCTTTAAAAAAAAATAAAAATAAAAATATAATTTCTCTTAAAAATTATATAATGTATGGCAAGAGTGGGATATATCCTATTCCCCTTATTTTATCTGCTGTGATAGCTTTTCCGCTTCAAAATACTTCATCCAAATATATCGCATTATATTTAGGCAATGATTTAGCTTAACTTACATGCTTTGTTTACATATAACATTTACCAAAAATTCATCCAGGGATTTATTTTAAAGAATGTCAATGTCTAAATCAAGTTGCTTCTCTGCAATATTTTAGACTCTTTCAAATAAACAGATAGGTTTTTTATCATGTACTTTTGTGTACACGTTTATATTTGAATTAATGGATCTCTAACCTAAGAATCATAGTTCCTAAATGTATTTTTCCC